CTCACCACGCTTCATCCCGCTGCCAGGTGGTGAGGGAGATGGAGATGCTGCCTGGGTCCCGCAGCTTCTGCACTAGCTTTAGGGCTTCCCACAAGCTCAGTGCCCAGGCATTAACGTAGCTCTGGAGAGGAGCAGCTCGCTGTCTCCCAGTGCTGGCACCATCTGGCAAGGTGCACATTAGCCTTCCCAGCGGAGGGCCCACGGAAAAGCAGTAGGAGCGGTCCCGACCACCTCCTACGCGTACGGTGGTTAATCCACCCTGCCACCAGAGTCTCCCGCTGCTGCATCTGCATAGCTTGAATGTGCACGGGGGGAAAAGGAATACCAGGTCCATAAAATAGCCCAGCATCAGACCAAGGACTACACAAGCTCTGTGCTCTGTCTGTGTTGGTGGCCAGTTGCCGGTGCTGGGGACAGAGCAGAGGCGCAAGGCAAGTACCGTGGAAAGGAGTTTGCCATCTGCTACAGCTTGATGGAGCTTCTAGCAGAGGTTCAAGGTGTTATTGTGACAGGGTTTACACCGGTGCCACTATGTTTTCTGGCTGTTTCTGGGCAATGAATGTACCCAGGACATCTTTTATGACCTTCATATCAGGAGTAGCTGATCTTCTCGCCCTTATGAGCCTCATACCAAATTTTACGTAGCCGCTGCCATAGCACAGGTACCTTATGCCTTGGAGAGTTCCTGGCAGGTGTGCGGAGTGACAGCATCTTTTAAGGGCCTGCACTTGGCTGGAGAGGCAGGTGAGGTTCTAATTGTCCAACTCAGTGGCACCTCCTGGGTCTGCTTGTTCCTCACCCAGGGAAGGACAGTTGGCTGCTGTCTGTCACCGGATGCAGCCTGGGCGTACGTGCCCTTGTCGGACTGCTTGAGAGCACCAGAGCCACAAGCTGGCCATAGCAGAATGGAACATTTGGACTTTACAGCGTCTGGTGGCATTGAGTTCCTCAGTTTAGTTTTGTACACTAGTGACAAAGTGTCTCCTGGCTTTTATTTTTGCTAAGCCAGCTGCTTAATATTTCCACCTGGTGTTGTTTAATACGCGCATCGTCACAGGTGATGAACACGCCGTACTTTCTTTCATGCACATCACGACTTTATAGCTTTCTGTCGTGCCTTTTCCAGGCTGGAGAATCCTAATCTATGTAGCGTTTCCTCCTGTGGAAATCATTCCAGATTTCAGATCATCTCTGCCATCTTTCACTGACTCTTTTTTTGCTAAACCCATTTTTCCAAACGGGAGCAAACCAGTGTGCCATATGGGAAATGTGGAAGCACCTTGAAATTGCACAGTGGCCAAACGGTGTGTTCTGGTTGGTCTGCTGTTCCTTCTGAAGGTTTCCCTACGGTCCCTTTGTCATTTATCACTGAGTCAGAATTTGTCAAGAGTGATTGACAGCGCTGATGTCTGAGTGGTAACAGCCCACTTAGTGATGGGTAGTTTTTCCTTCCTCTGTTGACTGTTTTCCCTTTATGAACAGTTCATTTGCCATTTTTTGCTACACAGTCCCACCATATGACAGAAGTTTTCCGCAAATACCTAAGTCAGTTTTAGGTATTTTCCTACCCTGGACAATTATCTCAATATTGTACTTCCCAGATCGTTTAGAAGTGTACTGAACAACAGGGCTCCCAACACAGGCTCCAAAGATTTTTCACTGGTTCCTACCCATTGTGTCCTATCTTTTAACTGATTAATCCAGGTCAGAATTAATAATTTGATTTATTAGTAAAAAATTAGTAAAATGATGCCTTTTATTGGACAGCAGCTTAGTTTAAGGGTCTTTTGTGAGGAACCTTTGTCAAAAGCTCTTTGAAGACGGAAGTACCATTGTGTTGCAATAAACCTCTGCTCTGAAATCCTTTGTGTGCTCGTCTTAATAAGGTCCCAAACTGCAAGCACTCACATTTTTGCTCAGCATGAGAAGGATTTGGAAACCTGGATAGGCAAAGACAGGAGCAGCCAGACAAGTGGGTGGTTTTTTTTCAACCCTAAAACTGCTGAATTTTCAACCTTTTTTAGCTAATGCCTTTGAGTCTCAATAGGAGAATGTGGGATACACAAAAATCAATTAACAGCCTGGAACCTTTCACACTGTCCTTACTCCCTGCTGTGAAGCCAAACAAAACATCCTTTGTAAAGGACTCCCTATTAGCATAGAAATTGTTCCTGCCACTGCAAGCATTTTCTTGGTTTTAGGCTAATTAGTTAGGCAGTTTAATATGTATAAACCCAAAATAAAACCAAGGCTCGTGTGTATATGCACTGCAGCTCACCGGGGTAGTAGTGGATTGGGCCTGCTGATTTGTTATTTTCCGTTGACTAAATACTGTTTCCTCAAAACCGTTTCACGTTTCTGGTCCTTCTGGTTCTTGCTTCTCCCCTGTCCCTAGGCAGTACATGGTGCTCGTGCCCTTTCTGATACACACCGAGTCTCCTGGGAAAGTCTGTGTTCAGCTGACCCACCTGAACGAGTCCGTGACGCTGAGTGCCACGCTCGAGTATCAAGGGGAGAACAGGAGCTTGATCGATGACGTGGTGTCCGAGAAGGACGTGTTCACCTGCATCCCTTTCTCTGTGAGTATCCCGTCCCTGTGGGATGATCCCTTGTGCTTATTGATGTGGTGCAGTGTTCTAAACAGTCCAGAAATTAGAAATAAGATGTGTTGCAATCAGAGACTTCTAAGATAAGCCAAACGAAGAATGAATTCCATGTGGAAAACTTAACTGTGGCACCCTTCTGAGGAATATTTTTCCACTAGTATCAAATTCTGTGTCCCACATGATGCTGCTGTGCATGCAGGGCTTAGAGAACTCTTCTGGGATCCTTCATCCTATAACGTTGACTGGCAGAACATACCCCCTGTCTGTTTGATCTGTGTAAGCCTCAGAGGAAAAATAGTGATGCAGAATGAGAACTGTAGAAGCTTGGGAATGGTTAAAGACAGTGAGGTCTTTAACCATTTGTCTGGTTCTGGGATTTATTCATGATTGTTTCCTGCAGAAGGTTGGTTGGTGAGTAATGTAAGCAAGTGGTCCCGCCCCCTAAATAATGAATCTGGGTTGATTTCCATCTTGATAAATCATAGGATGGAACAAGATCAGATTCAATATTTCTCTAAGGAAAGTGTATAAATGAAGAATGGGAAAAGGCTTCCAGTATTGGAAGGAGAGGCAGAAGCAGCATGGAGAAAACTCAAGGAAATGGAGAAGTTCTATTATTGCAACAATTCCTGAAGGAAAAAGCAGATTTTCTTGAGACAGAGAAGACAAGCCCTCCAAGTTCAAATAAGAAAATCATATTTTTCTCTTGTTTCCAGCACTGAGTCTTTGATGACTCTTTAGGGAACTTTCAGACCTAGCTAATACTGCACCCTTCAAAGGCTTAGTGCAATTGGGTGAATCAATAAAGCCGTTGTCCTCTCCCTTTTCCTTAGCTTCCAAAGTCCAATAGCACATCAGTGGCATTTCTCACTGTGGGGGTGAAGGGGCCGACCCTGCAGTTCAGGAGCCGCAAGTCGGTGCTGGTCCAGAATTCTGAGAGCCTGGTCTTCGTCCAGACAGACAAACCCATCTACAAGCCCGGACAGACAGGTACGGGGAGGCGGGTTGGTGTTGACTCTGAGCACAGAAAATCTTACATGCTTCGTTGCCCAGAGGACCCATACTTTTATTAAAGTTTTCAGACTTCTTCATGGAGGGAGTTAAAGCGCTCAGTAAATCTTATTTCTGGCAGCTGAGATCCAGGGCACATGGTACCTTCATCATTCCTACTCTCCACCCTCCAGGCTCAGCATCTCAGCCAGATGTAGGCACAAGCTCAGATTCATTCCTCTCAACCAGACGCATGCATGTGAGATGACTTCAAAGCATAGTCTCCCTTGGCTGCACCTGAATCAGTAAAGCAGGACAGGCACTCCCAAGGGACAATCCAGTTCAGCCAAGACCTGTTTAACCTTCTAAATTTATCTGTCTCTCACCATCTGCAAGAGAAAGAGCCTGAAGTGATTGCTTCCATAACTTAGAGATCTCAGCTCAGATCCTGTTGATTTATGGAATGAATCTGAGTTACAAATTATTGAAACACTGACATTTCCTGGTAATGGCTACAAATTTAACTGTGGAATTTCCTTCTTTTCCATTACACCCTTCAGTTCTGTTTCGGATCGTCTCTCTGGACAAAGACTTCTACCCGCTGAATGAGAAGGTAAAGCTACGATTCTTTGTTCTTAACCAGGAGGCTTAATTCCCAGTTAACACCATTACTGTCATCATCCAGAACCACTGAAGACAGCCTTTAAAACATATGATCCTTTCTTACACACACCATCCTTGACCCATTCCATATCCTGCCCTGGGACAGACTCCCCCTGTCTCTATTGACTGAGAAACCGACGTCCTTTTTCAAAAGGATGTAGGTGTTTAAACCCAAATTTGCAAAGGAATTGTGGCTGAGCATAGGGGCAGGGATCTCATTATGGAAAACACGAGCGGGACAAGTTCCCATTGGAAGTGACAGATGTGCAGATGTTTCCAGCAGTGGGTGGAGGCAGTGACTTGGTTTTAAGGAACTGGTCACGGGTGTCAGTCTGCCTTTTCGCTTATTTGGCAGCCACTTCCTCATGCAGGCAAGTTCTTTGAAAACTCCTGCTTCATCACATTTTCATACTGCGGTAAGACAAAAAGTTGGGGCTCTAAAATATTATAGAAGAGGTGCCCTTAGCCATCAAGAACTAAGGAAATAGAGCAAGTACAGAAAAGGGAGAACCCAAAGACTTCTTAGAAGTTTGTTCTTCTGCCCGTCAGTCCGGATCTGGAAGTTACTTCCATCCATATGTGACTAATGTTTCTAACACTGATTTTCCTTTGTTCTTTCTCCACAGTTTCCATTTGTCTACGTCCAGGTGAGTGGGTCACGACACGTCTGTTACTTCAGCAGAATGTGCAGGCACAGAGGCAGTAGTTTCCAGCAGTGGTGTTTTCAGGCTGAGGGGTGATGGAAAAACTTGGACACATGACCTTTTTCCTTTGTGTAAAGGGAGGCTGAGTAGTTGGGCATCAAAATAAGTTCCAACAATGGTTCTTTGATTGAGGAATGTGCTGTAGGAACAAAATATTTAATCAGTGCAAGACATGCTGTGAGCAGAGTTACACTTGCCTAGAGGTCGTATCAGATGGCTTATTCCTCTTCCCAAGCAGAACAAAGATTTTCTGTCTGCCAAGTGTGGTTGAAACCACAGAACAGCCTTAAACAAACTAGCAAAACTGAAGAAGCAAAACTGTGTTATTTAGACCTCCTCTATCTTCCCAAACATGCCCTTTTTGTCTTTTTGTTTTTGTTTTTTTTTAAACAGTTGAACTTTATTGACAGACAAAAATTAACAGGAAGGATGTTTCTGTCACTGATTCAAGTACTCACTTGTTCAGCTTAGAAACCAGAATTTACTATTATTATCTGGGACATCTTCTAGTGGAAAACTGATGGGAAGGACCCAGCAAGGGACCCTGAAGCCACGACAGCAGCACAAGCAGTGCTGAAATTAGCGTGCACAAATCTTGAGTTGATTATGGGTCCTATTTTTGAGACCATTTTGGGGAGTTTTGGGCCCCTCGCTTTAAGAGAGATATTGAGCTCCTGGAGCGAGTCCAGAGAAGGGCGACTAAACTGGTCAAGGGGCTGGAAAATAAAACTTATGAGGAGCGGCTGAGGGAGTTGGGGCTGTTTAGCCTGGAGAAGAGGAGGCTGAGGGGAGACCTGATTACAGCCTACAAATACTTGAGAAAAGATGGTGGGGAGGTAGGGGAAGGGCTCTTTACATTAGTGATGGGAGATAGAACAAGAGGAAATGGGTACAAGCTTAGTCAGGGGAGATTCAGGTTGGATGTTGGGAAGTATTTCTTCTCTGAAAGGGTTGTCAGCCACTGGAATAGGCTGCCCAGGGAGGTGGTTGAGTCCCCATCCCTGGATGTGTTTAAGAATAGGGTGGATGATCTACTTAGCAATATGGTTTAATGGGGATTAGGGACGGTTGGACTCGATGATCTCTAAGGTCTTTTCCAACCTAGAAATCTATGAATCTATTTAGTCAGTTACCTTGCCAGTCTATCGTTCCCAGCCTCCTGGCCCCATCCTTCATAAGCATGCACGCAGAGCCAAGGGGGACACAACACAGCACCTCCAGGGTTAAAAAGCTTTCTTGAGTGCTAGTTATGTGGGATGGACAGGGAAGTGCCCACAGATCCTCATGGATTATTGAATAATTACAGCTGGGCATTTCCCAGCCAGGATGTACATGCAGTGGGCACTCCACTGCCCTGTCCCGGGAGCCACCGGTCCTGCCTGGTGACGGTGAGGTATCCCCACCTGCAGGATCCCCAGAGGAACCGCGTGTACCAGTGGCAAGGGGTGGAACTGGAGACCGGCCTCACGCAGCTCTCCTTCCCCCTCACCTCGGACCCCATCCAAGGCTCCTACAAAATAGTCGTGCAGAAGAGCTTCTCGTCCCACGTGGAGCACTCCTTCCGCGTGGAGGAATATGGTAAGGAGAGGAGGTACGGGCTGCACGTGGGGCTGACAGCAATGCCTTTTACAGCGACCTCTCAAGTTCTGATTTCCTGGGAATGGCACGGAGAAAGGAGGGACTGAATACATAGGCAATGGGGTTCTGATGGGCTGATCCAAAAGGTGCTGAGCATCAGAGGTGGTTGCTCGTTTTATGGCATCTCTGCAACCTGCCTGAGCTTGTACGTGCTCACAGTACTCTTGGGAACACAAGATTTGCCTCCCGTCCTAGAGACAAATTTATGTCTAAACTGTACAACCCAGGGTTGTTTTCCAGTTCCTGGGTCTGGGTGTGCACCTTCCCTGCTCTTATTTCCTTGAGCTGTGAAAAAAAACCTCAGGTGCACCGCCTGGAAGCAGGACATTGTGTGCTTCAGTCCACTCCTGGGCTTCAGTAGTTGAGGGCTTAGGGTTGCAGGATGAAGTATGGGAAGAGGGATGTTAATACTCCGGAGCAAAACATGCCTTTTACTTGCCATCCTTCATATTGGGCTTTATTGCTGCTTCTTCCACTTGAAAATGTGGACCTGGGAATCTGTGGCTAGATTCACTGGAACTGTCTGGACATGCAGGACAGTTTCACATGCTGCTTATTAGTGAGCCTGACAGCAACTGGGGATCTCCAGAACAGTGAGAAACAGCCAAGAGGATCAGTGATCCGAGCCGTTTCAATGTGATACATCACAAAGGTGGTGATGCTCCAAGTCTTGGCTGCAAATTATGCATTGTGAAACATGGAACGCAACACGCAGGACCAGTGTGTCCTTCTAAATGGGCGTATGTAAGGGATCTACACAGTGGTCCAGTGCCAATGAGACCACATGAGCACGTGCTGCAAACGAGGGAAGGTAAGGGCTACAACCCTCCTTAGCTCCCTTTAAACCCAAACAGTGGAGAAGGCTGAGGAAACCCAAGGAAGGGGTAGCAGAGCTGTCTGAAGACCACAGAGAGGTGATGGTTCATAGTAAGACGATCCTGGCTCTGCGTTTGGGTCGCTGTGTTGTGCACAGCTCTCCTTCACTTTTCTCATATCCACTCTCTCTCTCCCACCTAGTGCTGCCCAAGTACGAGGTCCTGGTGAAGCTGCCCAAGATGATCACTATTAAGGACAAGGAGCTTCCAGTGTCTGTCTGCGGACTGTGAGTCACGGAGCTGGAGTAAATCTCTCTCGCTCACCCTTCACTCCTCCTGTCTGCTGAGGATCGAAAGAAGAGCTGGGGAAGGCTTTTCGTGCTTTTCCCAGACATCTAGTGCAGGCTCGTTCCACCCTGTTCATCCTGAGCCTGCTACGTGGCCTGAACAGTGAAAGTCAAGGGTCTTTTCTATGTTCCTTAAAAGATGATGCCAAAACAATCTGCAGCTCTCTCCTCTCAGTCTACTGCACATTTTCTGTCTTTACATTTCTTCTGTTAGAGCTTCTCTGCCAATCCTGAAGCCTCAAACACTCAGAGATGTCAGATCAGACATCATGTAAACCCGATGTTCTCACTTTTAACTCGTGCTTGAAGCTCAGCAGCTCGTGATACAAGGATGCTCCCAGCTGAAATAATTTTCTACAGACAATCTTTTTTGTGCTTTCCTGCTGCGACCTCCCGCCTAGAACAGGTTCTAATGGATGATGGAAGAATCTCGCCACGGAAATGATAGAAATGTAGTCATTAGAATCGTTAAAATATCAGATTACTCAGCCTTTAAGAAGAAATATTAGAAAGTCATTCACAGAAGTCTTTCAGGAGATGTGTCTAAGTGTGACTCTGATTGTCTCATCATCCAATATATTATTTAACACTTTGTGATTATAGGTACACCTACGGGAAACCCGTTCCTGGTTTGGTGAACGTCCAAGTGTGCCGGAAATTTTCCCATTCTGCCTCAAACTGCTACGGAAAAGAAGCAGAAGCTGTGTGTGAAGAATTCACCAGGCAGGTGAGGCTCAAGATCAAAATGTAGGAGTCCTTCTTATGGGCAATGGGCAATGCTGCCTGAGGGAGGCCAAATCTGTGGCTGTTGGGGGATAGCAGGACATCAGAGATGATGGCACTCGGTCCAGGGAACTGCAGATGTTCTCAGAGGAAGGCGTTCTTAGGACGTGGGTCATTAATCTAGAAAGAGAGCTGATGAAGAAAACCCCACAACACAAGTCCTGACCCCACTGAAACTAGTGACAAGTCTCCAGCTAGCAGCTCCGAGGTCCCTGCTATTGACCCCCAAACTGAGAAAAGAATCTGGGACAGAATTGTGTAGCCATGGGGGGGACTGGCAGGGAGCAAGGAGCAAAGAAGGCGAGGAGAAAACGAGAAGGCGGTATTGTACACGGGACAAACAGAGGAGAAAGGGCAACAAGGAAAAGAGTGAAGACAACAGAAGAAACAGGAAGAACAACAGAACTAAGGTAGGAGGGAGTTAACATGGAAACCAGCGTGTGCCTTCGAGACCTGAGTGGTCACGTACCTGCCAGAACACAGAAAACGTGTGGGTGAAACACTGGGAAACAGGCTGTGAGCAAGTTCTGGCCTTGGAGACAACCCCAGAACATCAGACTGGGATTTCACAAACAGAAGTTAAGCATGTTGGGTTTGGGGTATCTATTCCTGTCCCACAAGGCACCAAACTTGTTCACAAAATTCCAATTTTCTCTCCGATCCCCTGCTTAGGCAGATGCTCGTGGGTGTGTTTCTGGTGCAGTAAAGACCAAGATATTCCAGCTCCAGCGCAGGGGATATGAGATGAACATTGAGGTACAAGGCAAGATCACAGAAGATGGCACAGGTGTGTACCACGCGGAGATGGCAAAGTGATGGCAGGCCATAATGGGAGGGACTGGCAAAAATGAGGAAGGTGGAGTCTAGAAATGCTGCTATTAATTAATAATCCTTCTTTTCTTTTTCCCAGGAATAGAGATGACTGGAACAGGCTCCTGTGGAATCACAGCAGTGATGAGCAAAATCAGCTTTGACCTGCTGGACTCTCAGTACAGACCAGGGATCCCACTCTTCGGCAGGGTAAGGAACTCCTGAGACCCCGGACAATGAACGGCGTAGCGAACTCACAAGTGCACAGTCCCATCAGATGGAATAGCAGTGTGTGCAGATGGCACGGCCCACCTTCCTCTGCCTTGGCACAGGCAGATGAACTACAGATAGTTGGGGGTCTCTAACAAACCACGTGGCCCTGAGCCTCCTGGAAGTCAGCTCAGCACAGAACAGAAGGCCATTGCTCTGACTCATGAGCGTAACATCAGGGAGCAACAAGCGTGGGCTGTTCCTCGAGGGAACGTTGTCCAGGTGCAAAGGGTGACCACAATACAGGTGGGCATAGCGAGCTTATCGACAAGGGCACAGTCCCGTGGTACCCAGCCAGACTGAGCAGAGCAGGGGTGGTGATAGTAACAGGTTCCACCAACAGTCCAGTGACCACCTGCTGAGTCAGGGCTGAGCTCAACCAAGCAAGTCCAAGTCCATATGGGAACAGCAGCAGAAAGGAGTAGGGGAGTAGGTCTACCTCCAATGTAGCTTTAGATAAGGACTGGGGCAAGGCACAAGGCTGAGCTTAGAGTTGGTGAACCAAGGGGCAGATGATACATGGTGGAGGTTCCAAATGGGGCTGGCCAGAGGCGTTAAAACCTATGGAGGACTGAGGAACTTAGGGTTATTATTCCAGACCATTTCCCTGGGCCGATCAGATTGTCTTGCTGAGAATTTTCTCAGTTGCTGCCTCAGACAAATCAAGACTCACCTCACTTCGTTTCTGCGTTCATGTCTTTTGTTCTTCTTCATAAAGATACATCCTTCCTGGTAGGGAGGAAAAGAGGGAAGAGGTTTTAGGACTTTGGAATCATTTTATGTTTCTAACCTAAAACCTGACGTTTGTTCTTGCTCTGTTAGGTGAAGCTGGTAGATGGCACTGATGCTCCAATTGCCAATGAGACCATCACGATTTCTGTGGATGGAGACACATACAAAGGGAATTACACTACGGACGAGCAGGGGCAATCCTGGTTTTCCATAGACACTACCACCTTCACACAAGGCTCCCTGGAAATCCGAGTGAGTGGCAGAGACAGGGCAGTGGGACTGGGGTGAGCCTCTGTCTTTCAGATCAGCAGGGGGAATATCTGTCCATGGGTCAGATGTCCAGTCTTTCTGCCAATTGAAAGATCAAGCAAGTTTCTCCCCTCTCTTCTCCATGTCCCCTGTGCATGTTCTCTACTTTCTTCTAAGAATGGGAAATATAGAACATACCCAGAGTTTTCCTGTGGACTTTCACGTGCCTTGTTACCTGGTTTGGGTCAGCTATGAACTTTTTATTCTTCTTTCTCAGGCCGATCATAAACCTGAACTGAACTGTTACGACAGCGACTGGATCACCCCTTCATATGAGCACACCATGCGTCGAATAAGTCGGTTTTACTCCTCCAGTAAGAGCTTCCTCAAAATTGAGCCAAAGCCCGAGACATTAAGTTGTGGCTCCCCCACGGAGGTCCGGGTGCACTATATCTTCACACCAGAGGCTTTAGGAGAGCAGAGGAAAATTGTGATCTACTATTTGGTAAGAGCTATTTGTGGTTACTTTGGTGTCTGGCCACAGAGAGCACCGTGGCACACACAGCTGCCTTCCATGAAGAGCAGCCACAGCACTGGTATATGGTCAGTCCTTAGCCAGTGACGACAGAGTTAAGGGAAAGCATGGCCTGTGGCAGTGGGATTTAAACCCATTTCTGTAATGTTTCTCGTGTTGTCTTCTGTGTGCTGACATGGGTAGGGTGCACGCCTTTTATTAAGAACAGAAGAAAGACAAAATGTTGATGGAGAGAGCATTGTCTTGGGCACAGCCATCCAAGACTCTCATTTCATAATACTCCACTCCCAGTTTCCTCCATTCCAAATTCTGGATCATATAGGGTCACAGCTCAGATACCAGCACCCTACAAGATGATGAAAGATGAGGAGGAAAGTTGTCTCCTACTCAGTTTTGTCCTTCAGTAGTCATCTGACCACTGAAACTAAAGCAACACCTCTAACTACAGTGCCAGAAGAGCCCAATAAGCTTCGAGCTTAGGTCGTGTATCCGGCAGCGACGGAAAGGTTGGGATGTCACAGTAATTGGATCAGACTACAACATGCTGGCATTGAGAACCGTGAACTGGTTCGTTCTGGGGAGCAGAGAAGAGAGACTAATCCAGCTGTGACGGAACAATGATCTACCAGTTTCACTTCGGAGAACAGGAGGAATAAGATGATTATTCAGATAGAACTTCTTTCCCCCTAAATTTGATTTTCTGGTTATCCCATTTACTCGAACTGGCAGAAGGGGTGAGAGCAGCCTCGGAGAGCTGGAAGAAATCAGTGGAACAGACACTCCTGATGGATTGTACAAACATCGGGGGGACTTAGGCTGAGATTACAAAAAACAGAATAGAAACCTGCGGTGGAGATGTCTGTGTGCTTATTTTCCAGACTGCTAACAAGAAATTGAGTCACAAGATTCCAGTTTATCCCGGGAGCCTGGGAAAGCTGGTCTGAAGTGTGTACATAGAGCAGTGAGGGAACTGACATTTTTACAGGTGTGGACCCCACACCTTGACATTGAAATATGGTGCTATAGAATAGATAACCTGCATGGAAAGTAATTGTATAAAAGGTGGTGGTCACTCTCAAAAAGGGAACTTTTTCTAGAAGTGAGGGAGTTACAGGTAGCGTTCAGGCTGTCGCTTCCCACCTGACTTCAGGTACTTCGTTCCAGCTCTCATCGTTTACAGCCTGTGCTCTTCTGTTCCGACTCTGTGTGAGTTCTGAATCTAATCCTCATTGAATTGTTCTCCAGACTGTTCCACAACGCAATTGAGAGTGGAATGAGGAGAACTTTTGATCCTCAGTCTGTTCCAAATTGTTAGAAATGTGCATGTGACCCCCAAACTTACGTGTGCTTAGAAACAAAATGTGTTTGAACCTGATCTCTGTATGCTCCATGTGCCAAAGGGAAGCCAGGTCTGAGCAATAGGGAAACGCTGGTCCTACCAGGAGCAAATATTTCTGTCTCCAAAGACTCAGTAAATTCCAGTCTGGCATTTGCTCACTGTTGGCAGTGCTATTCATACTCGCACTCTGCGGTCAACCCAGTGAACATTCGTTTTCCTTCCCTTCAACACCAGTAACAACTACAAGAAGGTTTCTCTCTCACACAGGTGATGGCCAAGGGAGGCATCGTATTAGCAGATACCCATGATCTGACTCTGAATGCTGGAGAAGGTGAGCAGAACTATGCATTTTGAGCATCTCTGATGATAATTTAGGAGCAGGGGGGATGTAGAGAGATTATTTCAATTCAGACATTTCATATTTGAATCGAAATGCGTTTTCAAAATCAAACCTTTCTAAATGAAGTGGCTTGGGTTAGTTTTGTTTTCTCTGGGTTCTGTCAGGTGCTGTTTTTCTGACGAGAAAACTTTAGAATATTCAACAAAAAATAGACATAATGTTTTGGTCATTTTTTTCCTCGAACCGATGCTTTCTGCTGGCCACTCTGCCCTATTCATTCTGTGGATGCTTACCAGTGTCGTGGGACTCACCGTGCAGTGAGCAGGAAGAACGTGTCTCCTTTTCTCTCTCTCTCTCACTTTCCTTCATTTGTTTGGTGGTGTTTCTCTCCTACACACGTGCAAACACACGCTTACCCCTATTCTAACCAATGCAGTTAATTTTATTCGTATAAATGTCCAAGGGTTACACATTTCAGCAACTGACACTGGCTATGATGCATCTTTAGAAGTCTTTCGACAATGAGACCAGGGAGACATTTTGAAAGTCTATGAGAAGGAGTTGTGCTGCAGTGGGTATAAATAGAATATGGAAGTAAAAGATCTTGAGTGCTCCATGCTCATAGAGAGTTCTGCATCCTCACTAGGAGCAGTGATGAAACTAACACCCTGGCTCATGTTAAGAGATGTCCCATCACCTTGTCCAGACTGTGACATGAAGCTCAGGCCCAGCTAGGAAGAGTCTTTCAACACAGAGGGGCATTTTCCACTGTGGTTGGAAAAGATAGTTTGGTGTCCCAGCTAAATGCTGCTTAGCAGGAACTTCACAAAGTCATTCTTCCAGCCACTCTGCAACCTTGACTGCTGCCACCCACTACAACAGTCCCTCATTTCTATGTTTTTTCCCTCGTCTATTTTTTTTGTAGGCTACAGAAGATCTTGGAGCTTGAGGAAAAATGGGGTTGGGAACATCAAGAAATTATGCCAGATGTTAACAGGGGAGAACCTAGACAGCATGTTGAGGCCCACCAAACTCATTTCCTTTGGCTATTACACGATCACTGTTTGAAAGCAGGTGTCTTTAACAGCAGCCATACACTTCAGTCATGTATCAGTATTCCCACCCCTGCTAGCTAAAAATGTTCAGCATGAGCGAATTTGACTTTTTTTTAATTTGGGGAAGGCAAATGCATATACTGGAACTCCTTGTATGTTTCTTAGGCTTTTTTCTCTCTGTTAGTTTATGGGACGTTTCAGCTGACCTTCCCCGTTGAGGCAGCAATTGCTCCCCTGGCACGGATGCTTGTCTACACCACTTCACCCAGCGGGGAAGTCATCGCCAGCTCGGCAGATTTCCAGGTTGAAAGTTGCCTCCCCAATAAAGTGAGTATAAGTCAGGGCTTATGCAACCCATGTTTGTCTTGTAGCCAGCAGTTCAGTCACAAGTTCCAGAACGGAGACAGAATTCACAGCGGCTTCATGAAATGGTCTGACCAGATGTTGACTGAGGGACTGAAACTGCAGAATAAGTTGCAAAGCCATAGCTATAAAAAGTGGAGCAAGACAGAATAAGAGAGAGAATCACGGGTCATTATGAATTACCTTGGTCAAAGCTGAGTAGAAGAACTGCAAGGCACCGGCAGAGCTCAGTTCATAAGGCTGGATTCTTCCGTACGACAGCATGTAACAGTGCCTGGAAAAGTGGCTGCTTTAACGTCCTTTTGGGGTTGCAGGTCAGATTGAGTTTTGAACCCAAGGAAGGACTTCCTGCCTCCAGCACACGCCTGCAAATCCATACCTCGCCAAAGTCCCTGTGTGCCCTCCGTGCTGTGGACAAAAGCGTTCTCCTTATGAAGCCTGAAGACGAGCTCTCGCCCAGCTCTGTAAGTCTTGGCTATTTCTGGTGATGCAAGAACAAGAACCAGCCAGGTGCCTCTTGGCACCACTCTAGGCATGAGGCCATGCATAGTTATAGTTGCATTCACTACGTGTGTTTTTTTCAGAATCTGGCTTTTATAAACGGAGCATTAGGTAGTGTCTGTGTCCCTGAAAGCGCTGACCTGCCACGTTTTTCCCTGGTTGCTTCCGTTTTCCCAGGTGTATGACCTTCTCCCACTGAAGGAACTCCGGGGTTATAGCTTCAAGGACTACTACCTGGAAGAAGACAATGTAAACCCGTGTGTGTCGCTTGACAACATCTTACTAAATGGGTTTGTCTACGTACCCATTTCTCCTGACAGTGAAGGTGATGCCTATGACATTCTCAAAGTAAGTGCCAGCCTTTCATTTTTCTTTGTTATTCCTTTTTTTTTTTTTTGAATTCCTCTTCTCATCTGTCCTGAAGGGCTTTTTAATGAAATTTGATGTGAGCTTGCTAACTTTCAGATGCAAGACAATAACCAGACCCTGCATCTATGTAGCCCCTCATTGGTACCTGAGTGCTTCTCTGAACCATTAAAACTGAAAGGTCTCCTCATTGCTAGTAGAGATACCTGCAAATGGGCTCAAGTAAGGAAACAGTCTTGAGAAGTGATCTCTGCTGCCATAATATTGGAAACTCTTCCTCAGTCATGCATGTTCTTTCTATCTGGTGTAGATGGGTCTTTCATAAAGTGCCAGTTACTTTGATAACCCAGAAACCCACCTATACCCATCTAAAGAGTCCCACGCAAGACTTTCTGGGTACCCTCAAACCAATGCTTTTCGCACATGTCGTTTTCACCCAGTCAGATGTCCCCAAGGGGAATCTGTGGCCTTAGCTTTCCATCCAGTCATGCCAGGATTTAGCCTTAGGGTTGATGTGAAGCCTCAACATCTGGGTTGAAC